TAGGTGGCGCTGCGGCGACGGACGAACGCTGGAAGGTCGTGTCGCGGGGCCGGCCGGTCGCCCATCTGGGAGATTTGCGCTGCTGCAACTGGTCACGGTCTTCCGCGACTCTGGTCACGTCAACTCATCCTTGGTGCGTAGAGCGATGATAGATTGCTGAGGCCCTTGGTGACCAGCCAGAGTGGGCCGGCCCCGACACTAACACTTCGTCTCCCCGGCCACAGATGGCGCTCAAGCTGCATGCGGCGGAGGGCTCCAAGCGGCCACACAGCGCACAGCCTTCGTCAGAGCGGCACGCTGGTGAGTTACCGCAACAGCTGGAGCGTGACCGCGCCAGTGTGCGCCGGCTTTCCGGTGCTCCGGCGCGCTCTGCCGACCCAAGCTCCCACCGGTCGCAGCCCGCGTCAAGGCCACGGATGGAAGGTGGGCTGCGACAGCTGTTGCTGCAGCCTAGCCGACTTTTGTAGGAAGGAGTAGTAAGCCTGTTGTAAACATTAATGCGCTGACAGGCTCCTTCTCGCAGCTCTCCCACATAGACGCGTGGGAGAATGGGTGGCCATTATCCGCACGTGGCATGGGCGCTGTGCGGAAGGCACTTGCTGATCCAGTCGCGCAACGTTAGGAAATTACCGAGAGCTCCCCACTTAGCTCGGCTCATTCTCGTCCCAATACGAAGATTGCAGCCCTCGACTGTGATATCATCCTAATCCCCGACTTACGAGACGGCGGTCAGGTAGCGATCTTTCCTGGCCCACGGTCAATTGATAACAGATGACACTTGACAAGCGACACTCCGCGGCGGCCCCCAGACGAACGCTTCTCCTCCCCCACGCCCAACGACTCCCCCAAAAACGATATTGTATGGACAGCTGACACAAACCAACCAAAAGACGTCGATGCTGCACCATCCCTCTGTTCTCAAACCCCGCTGATGAAGTTAGTACACGCTACGTCTCAGTGCCGTAGCCAAGGGGGCTTTTGGGGCAGCGTTCCCTTCTGGAGGTGGCGGAGGCCTCTTGAGAGTGAGTGCTTCGGTGCTTTTCGACACTTTAAGATGTTGCAAGTCTTCTAAAATATAAAAACAAAGTGGGTATTTGAAGCATCAAAATAGGACCCCGGGACTAAAAAGGTTGAGTTGGCCCTATCCTCACCGATTCCTGCTTACACCACAGCCCGGAACAGTTCAGTGTAACAAAATGACTGACGAACTTCAGGAATCTTGACATACAGTGAACTCCAAGGAGCACTAATTTCAAGTGTTGCACAAGAGAAGGTTTAAAACATACCAGGTGGGAGACACCGAAAGTGAACGACACAAACACTCAGCTATACCGCCAAAAACCAGATGACGTCATCTCATACAAACGCGATGGGGCCATCGATGAGTAACATCCTCACGAGTCTGTCAGTCCTGCAGCCTCCATTGCATGGACGACAGCAAAAAGGAACGACAAGTGATACAAAGGTCCAAGGATGAGAAATTGTCATCACAAAACGAAAAAACATCCACAGTAGCACAACATCTCGTAAGGACAAGTGTTATCACTAGATTCCAAAGCCCAAACAAAACTTGTACACGTTATCTCTCAGTTTATACTGAAGTCACTACGACGGACACATGCCCCAGAACAGTGGCGCAGTTTTAGAACGGCAAACAGCCAATGCTCCTTACCAACAAGAAAAACAACACCGGACAAGATCAGACGAAGTACACGTCAATCATCTAATCACGAAGGCGAAAGAGGGCTTTTCATCTTGAGCGCGGTCAGCTGCACCAGTTGTCTGCAGGAAGTTTGGTACACGAGAGCAAACCCAGTCAGTACCCAGTTATTTTGTTTCGCGGTTCACAATGCCGCGGGATCGTTATTCCAATTTTGCTTTCCAGGAAGCCGCGTTTTCACAACCTGGCGAAACCGACCGCCAAACATATTCATTTCTAAACCTAGATCACGCCCGACTGCGCGCTAAGAATCGCTTCGACAACCATCGCGGCTGTCGAGACCAGTTCGCTTTGACCACGTTGTTTGCGTTTGGGGGGCGTGACACCCTGATGAATGTCTGCCGCGAGCCCCGCCCGAGGCGCACACGGCCGGCCGCTGGGGAGAACCGCCGGACCCCGGCCGGCGACCTGGCTGCAGCCTCGAGACCGTGGCGCGCCCAGCCAGCGTATACATTGCGTCATGACGTACACGTCCAGAAATATCCGCCCCGAGCACATGCCTTCGATATCTGCTCTCATGCCGCGTCCGAGCTGCTGCTCGAGATACTGCTGCTGCAGCGGGCAGTCAACTGACCCCGTGACCGCTGAGGCGGGCCTGGGCGGGGAGGGAGGGGGCGTACCCGGCGCGGCCCGCCGCCGGGTTGGCCGGCCGCCAGACACGGGAGTGGGCGGGTGCTGCCGTCGGCGGGCGCGCCCATCGCATCCCGATCGAGCTGATGGCCGCCCGCTGTCCGCAGGAGACGCCGTCGACCGGGCCAAGGGCCGCAGCCCGGCCGCGTCGCGCACGCCGACAGCCAAGGCGGACGCGGCTGCGCCGGCCGAGCGACCCAAGGCCAGGAAGCGTCCGACCGATAGGCCGCCGGCGCCGGCGCCCGCGGCCGCCGCGGCCAGCGCCGGCGGCACGCCCGACTCGGGCGGCAAGGGCATCCGCGGGGGTACGCCCCGCTCGCGCTCCGCCCACCGCCCTCGCCGCCAAGGCCAGAAGCCCGACCAAGGCGGAGAAGGCGCCGCCGCCGGCGCCGATGGCCAGCAGCGCGCCGGCGCCCGAGACGGCGCCGGAGCCGGAGCCAGCGCCGGCGCCGGCGTCGATCGACGCCGGCGAGGACGCGCCGCCGGCGGCCAAGCCGGCCGAGGAGATGGTGCGCAGCGCGCCTGAGCCGACCCGGGTCAAGTCGCCGGAGCAGATGGCCCCCATCAAGTCGCCAGAGCCGGTCAACTGGACCGTGCCGCTAGACACCGGCAAGACGTTCACCGTCACCCAGAACGTGATGCCAGGTGCGTGGATGTCGGCGCGCAGGCGAGGTGTGGTGCCGAACCGACCCGCTCTTAGGCGTTGTGTCGGAAATTCCAGAAAATGGACCGAATTCAAGGGGGTCATCCACGTAACTGATGTCGTCGAAACGAAGCTATTTCGGTAACATTCTCGTTACGGCCAAATCCGCCCTTTAAACTGCATTCATCGCTCTCTGTTCCCACTGCCGCCAGGCCGCATTTTAAGTCTAATTATAACCACGTGGGTCTAGTCCACCTCGCGCACGCCATTATCTCGTCACCGAGAACTCGAGGCAGGTTCAATTGGGTAACCCCCCCCCCCCCCCCCACGCTACGCCCTAGAGCCTAGACAGCCGCCGCCGTCCTGCAGGGTTACTTAAAGCGTCCGGCTATTGACCGGACCGCGCGGCGCCAGCAGGCCATGGCTGCCGCTCATAAGGGCCCCGGTCCCCTGTGTCGGCCAGGCCGTCACCGCGCGGCAGGCCGGCGGCTGGAAAGTTCCACACATGCCTCCGGTCCTCACGGATTCAGCGATGCGCTGCCGAATTTCGGCAGGCTTGCTCGGCTCAGCCAGCTGGTGAATGACCTGGTCGCCAGGTGCGCCAGCCACTTCTCGTGCCCCCAGCTGTACCGTTCCGGGTCCTGGCTCCTCAGCGTTTCTGTTGAGCCCCCCACAGCGTGCGTCCTGCAGATCTATATCAGCTCCAGTCTGCCTGTGGCGCTAACGCCGTCCGCTCGCTCCGGCAGGCACCGGCAGCCCGCAGTCGTCGCGGGCCGACAGCCTGCGCTCGCCGGGCGACGAGGTGGCCCGGTCGCCGCTGGCGCGCGGCGTCACGGACGTCTCGCACCTGCGCAACGGCGAGCCGACCGACAGCCCGCTGGTCAACGACCTGCCGTCGGCGCCGCCGGCCGCCAACGGCCAGCAGTCCGACTTCAACCACCGCGACGACGTCGCCGGCGACCCCATGTCCATGTCCATGGTGGGCGACGAGCTGCAGCGTTCGTTCCACGCCGCGGACCCCATGTCCGGCTCCATGTCGGGCAAGGAGTTGCAGCGTGCCCTCCAGGACCCGATGACGGCCTCGATGACGGGCGACGACCTGCAGCGCTCGCTCCACGACTCGATGACGGCCTCGATGACGGGCGAGGACCTGCAGCGCTCGCTCCACGACCCGATGACGGCCTCAATGACGGGCGACGACCTGCAGCGCTCGCGCCACGACTCGATGACGACCTCGTCGGCGGGCGGCGACCTGCCGCGCGCGCCCCACGACCCGATGAAAACTTCGATGACCGGAGACGAACTGCAGCGCTCGCTACACGCAGAGCCGGCCGCTGGCGACGCGGCAGCGGCGGCGCCACCGGACGAGCCTGCGCCGGCCGGGCGAGCGGCGCCGGCGCTGCCGCGCGTGCTGGACGACCCGCTGGCGGCCGCCGGCTTCGGTCGGGCGCCGGAGCCGGAGCCGGCGGGCCGGGCCGAGAGGCCGCCGACGGCCAGCCTGTTCAGCTCCGGCTCGGCCGGTCCGCCGCGCTTCTCGCACGAGCTGTTCGGCTCGGGCCGGCCGGCCGAGCCCAAGCCTGACGCGCCCGAGAAGCCCACCTACAGGGTTATCTAGCCGCTCGGGCGCCGCCAGTCGCGTGCTTTCATTTCCGCGGTAGTCGACTAACCGGGGCCGTGCCTCCTTACTACGCCGCCGCAGCCGCCGCCGCCGTCGCGGGCGCCCTCTCCAGCTAGCTCGGTGTGCTCGCTTCGCCCGCCGGCGGCCAATGGGGGCCCGCCGGGAGAGGGAGGGGAGGGGGTGCGCGCCCGACCGAACGCTCCAGATGTTCCGCTTCTCTCGTTCCGCTCCGTGAAATACTCTGCTTTCCCAGGTCGTTGTGTTGCCAGGCTGCATGCAGCGAAAAGACTGCACGATGTGTAAAAATAAACATTTCCAGAAATGGCGAGTGGTTCAGACAATGTGTCCCGCAAACAGGGCTTTGGAAGACAACGATGCAAAAAACGACATTGGTGGATCACCGGCCTGAAGCTTTATTAACGTTAATGTTAATAATCCCGACTCTGAGTACCATATTATTCACAACAAAAGAACAAACACTAAAATAATAATGTACTTGAGAGAGGGAATGAAAGCGTTGCGAGCTGCGGTTACATCACGGTCACTCCTCGTTTTGTCGGCAATAAATTAAACGGACGCTCTCCTCTCCGCAGGACAGTTAGTGCACAAGAATTTCAAGACATTCCACATAAGCTACCGCAGATTTAGCCGGACTTGAACAGTAGGATGGCTACTTGTCCCAGGTAGAAGTAAATGAAGTGCTTGGTCTCGTGCGTAACGTAACTGCCGAAGTTCCGGCCCACGATGCAATGCCAGGTGGGGTTGTATTTCTTATCGAACTCCTTCTTGATAAACGCCGCGATGTCCTGAAACAGAGGTTCGGTGCGTCACTCTTCATTCGTTCATCTGCCGTCAACCAATAGCATCAGCAGGCTGCTTAGTCTCAGATCAGACCCGACAGATTCGTAAATAAAACGGTTCTGTGGACCACGTCTGCGAAGGCGCCAACAATCAATGCCGTGTTACGTCAGCAGAATTCAGGTCATCCAATTGTTGCTCACGTTCAGTAACATACACTGGCTTTTGAATTGATCGCTTCGTGCCTCACAGATCAGCATTTTTCACAAGATAACGTTCGCCACCACCTCACTGCTGACTTCATGAGCCAGGTCATCAAGACACCGATACCCGTTTTCCTGTTGGAGCTGGACTTCGTTTTATCCACAAGGTAGTGTCATCACCGCACCGATCCACTAACTGTGCAACAACACCTGCATCGACAAAAGATTATTAAGGAAAAAGAGCGTCATTTTCCCTGAAAGTAAGACCAGTAAAAGCCCTTTACAATGTGGGACCAGCGGTTGATAACACGTGATTGTCAACGCCATGTAGGTGATGCCTCAACATAAGCGACTGATGAAACGCACGATGGAATCTGTCGCATCTGGGACCAATATGGATAGGAGCTACCAATGCATTCTAACATCCCACTTCCATGAGTCTGGCAGGCAGAGGAGCAACTGATGCTCATCGTACGCGCATTCCACATCTTTCCCTAGAATGTTGGCTAGCTTTACATAAACCTTGCCAGGGCCTCGGAAATTTTATCGATCAACGATTTAGATCAAGAGTGTGACAGAGAACGCTTGCTGGGCAAGACGCAAGCAAAAACAAACACAGCATTCACAAGGCCTGTCATTTTCCATTTATTGTTGTGAACTACAAAAAAAAAACAGTATACCACTAAGGCCAACGGCTCCAAAAAAATCGGGTTAGAGGAAGTAAAACGAACAGAATTACCCACACTGCACCGAAAAAAACAGCCACCAAATTTGGCAAAAGAGTACCAAGATCACGCTCCATGCCCAAATTATATACCGCTTGTCCCACCTACGTATTATCCATTACTCACAGGATCGAAACGGCAGGACCGGCACCACCTAGCCGCTTTATCGTTTTCCCGCGGAGAAGAGGGCAGCTGACGACACGACCCGACACTGACCGGCCACGCCCAGGTCGGGGGTCGCCCCTCCCCACCACCGCAATACTCCGAACCAGTGCCGTCACATAAACCGGGCGCTGGATAAATAAACGGGCCGCCTTCCGGCATACCAACCGGCCAGACAGCGCCGATCGGTCTGCATGGCGCGAATCAACCGACCCCGCTCCACTTCACACGCTTGACCTGCGGTCGGGAACAACCGCCGTCATCCGCCGGTTACGCTTTCACTAGGGTCACAATGCCACAGTGGACCCCACATTGCGGGCATTCCTGGCCAGTACGGTCCTGGCGTCGAGGATCATTCGACCGCGCTGCGGGATCTCCCACTCGACGTGGCTAACGAGGACAGCACACACAGCTCAGGGCAAGCGGATGATCGGTACACTGACCAATGCCACCGAGCATTTCCTCTCGGATGGAGAAACCCACATTCTGAGGATGATGATGGGTCAAGCGTTAGACTCATTCCGTGTTACTACGCACGTCACACTCGCACGCCTTGGTGCTGAAAATAACAAATTTTGCAGCTGGGAGTTATTTCTGGCACCGTAAGATGCAATCGTATCGCGCCCACATGGGAGAGCTTCAGGAGGCTGCCACCTCACCTCAGTTTCCCCAGTGACATGTTTATTTGTCACATGCTGACCTTCCTCCGCAAAACACGCGGCACGGAGAACTCAACGTCCTCGCCTCCACATTCAGTCGTAAGTTACAATTCAAGTCAATTTATTAACACGCGCCCGGGTGGCCGGCTAGATACCCTTCGCTCGGGTGGGGGTCAATTTGACCCCCTAACATCTCAGGAACTAAGAAAGCTAGCGACACCAAATTTACAGGGTGTGTTGACCTGTACGTGAACTCACTTAGGTAAAAGTTTCAGGTTCCTGGGTCATGACCTTCGGGTCAAATAAGGTCAAACAAGGCCAAATTCCAGGTTGGTCTCGAAAGTGCCCCCAGAACCTTTATAACCGTTTCTAAGCAAAAGGTCACGTGCTCACTTAAGGTCAATAAACTTGGTTGACCTCTTGAAGGTCAAGGCGACCAAAATCATACAAGATTGCTTTAAGTTTTGCACCTGACTGAGCGACAAGGATTACGCTAGGTAGTATGTTCCTAAAACAAAATGTTGACCTGGGTCATTTTAGGTCAATGAACTGTTCTGACCTCTAAGAAGATGCTGTATAATGCGGTTCCTGCAATCAATAAATTTGAAATGAGCACCAGAAACTATCCCACACAGTAAGCCCTAGAGAAACAAAACAGGTTGGTTTTGACGCTGGTGTGACATTCATACCTGATCTTAGGTCAATGTAATTTGCTCATTCAACTGTTGTGTTGCCTAAGAAACCATCTCAGAAATGTGTGGCTTCGTCTAACACTCCCTTGTTGAATCAGATTGAAGGATTCCCTAGAAATTGCCTTCGCTGAAACCATGGCCTGACTTTGACCTGCCACAGGTAAGTGACCTTACAAGCTACATCTAATTGTTTTATGTCAAACGATCCGGCATTCAATTGTCTACAGCTATGCATAATTTGGTGCGGATGCGCCGCGCCGTTCGGGAACCATTCTGGAAAAACCTTCGGGGGGTCAATTTGACCCCCGCCCGAAAGCGTGTTAACGAATCATCCCAACAGCGCTGCAGCATTTGATCCCAGCCAAACCATATTACTACTTGACATTACATTGCACGACCACTGGAAGAGCACTCGCCTGGGCTACGTGTCCGGAACGCGAACGGGCCCGCAAAAAGCCTCCGTGGCCCGCCATCATCAGCACGCCTACTGGGCAGATAAAGTATGGCAAAACGCCGACTATGCAACAATAATGTCCGCCTTTCAAAAGCAGGTTGAGAAGTTTCCAACAGAACGTGCTCATCCGTAGACATCCTTGCCGCTGTGCCGCCACATTACGGCGGCACTGTCTTCCGGTCATAGGCTCCTGAAGTGCTCTGCGTAAGACGCTCTCGACTGATTGGTCCTATTCATCGTATTTACTTGCATCTTACCTCATACATACCTTCATTCAGCTTAACCCCGTACAAACCATACGCGCCGTGGCCTAGGGCCGCCAATGTTGACGTTTCCACAACGCCATCAATAATACAAACATGGTGCGTATCAGACGACGTCGTCGTGACTGATACACCAGCCTGCCGGGGGCCGCCTCTAGTCGGCCAGGACCGCCAGCAGCCTGTCCGGCCGCTCTCACCTTCTCGATGTTGTACTTCTCGAGGGCTTGCGTGGCGCAGTCGACGGCGTCCTGCTGCATCTCCTCCGACATGTCGGCGTTCTTGATCACTGCCTTGCGGTCCGTCATCGTGACTCACTGGCGGCGGCAGGACGATGACGTCACGGCGGGCGCGGGCAGCCGGCACCTGGCCGGCCAGTAATAGCCTGCGCGTCCGCCCGCCCGCCGACCGGCCGGCCCGGCCACGGCCGGACCGTTCGGTGCCCTTCTCTCCACACCCTCCCCTCATACTGATCAGTAGAACACCCACTGTCACATGCGGTCAGGAGGCCACATCGAATCATGCGGACAGACCAAGCCTTCAAGGCATCCTCCTGCCAGAGACAACCAATTAACTGTTTCCTTATTTACATACACTAAAATGGGTTGGTTGCATACACTAAAATGAGTTGATGTCTAACAAATGGATGATGGTAACAATCACTTCAGTGCTAGTTTCTTAACTTCTATGTACAAGATGATCAGTGACTTCAGTTTCTATATATGGAGAGGCAAATATGTAGCTATGTCAGTTGTGAGGGCAATGTGATACAAATAAAAACACAAGGATATAATGAGTATCACACATTATATTATGCTCTACAATATATTTTATTGTCAGCTCAGTAGACAATGAGCTATAAAAATCAGCATTTACAACAGCAGTCATAATTATAAATGCCAGCCGGCACTACATGGTGAAAACGGCACCAGTCTAATTGATTCAATCTAGAAACATCATACATGAAAGATTAAATGCAACAATTGCATTTCATATTCCTTTCCATCCCACCCCATTCTCAAGTTTCATGGAAAGCCTTCAGGATCCTATCATCCATTGCCTGCTCCAAGAACAGTCAGCTGATGGCAAATACTCATGTTATTTTTATATTCCTAGTTCTGCCCATGGAAAGCAACAGCATAAAAACAGTCAGAATTAGTCTGTCACATCACTGCTTATTGCAGTGGTTCTGCATGCACTACTAGTAGGCAAAATAACATGCACACAGAATGGCCTACCTCCACACATCAGAAGTCAATTTAAGCATTCATCTATGTCTTGTTCAAGACACAAATGCCATGTATGGAAAAATACAGTACCTACTCTAAATCTTTCAAGCAAAGTTGCAAATGCTGAAACTTATGGCTAAAATTCCATATTTGCAGCCTGTATGGAAACTTTTAGCTATCTATGCAGGTAAGCCAGTAAATATGTGACCAGATGGGTGCAGGATGAACCAAGACCATTCAATGCACATGGCTGCCTATTTGGGCACCTAGATCCCAAAATTACATAGGTACATGCCTAATGTCTGTGAGGATGATGAAGGTTATGCAGATACACCTTAGAAGAGCATTATTCTGTCAAAATTCAAACAACCAGTCTACAATAACATTAACTGGAATTTTGGTGACACACACAGACTGGCCAGTATGCGGGTAAGCATCTAGCTGAGCAGGAGCAAAGGCGTGTTCAACTTGGGCGTGCATGGGCGTAATCATGGCCATTCCACTACCTAAACAGGCCACTAAACTACCTACCTTCACAGGCCACACAACTGCAGGAAAAAGTTGTAATTACTGAGAAAGAGCCGTACCAACATATGTAATCGACTTGGCGACTACAGCAGTTCAATACCCTACAGCAGTTCATTTCAAATTTCGCTGCTAAAAACGCACATCACGTAAGTTGGTATAAAGCCACATCACACGTCAACTCCCTGATGTTTGGACGCCTCACCTTTGCTGCACCCAAAAAAAGAAAGCAGTGTTGTCCTCCAAGCTATAACTCTTGAAAACTCCTCTACCTGCAACCAGGACACTGCCCGTACACCAAGCTCCTCCACTTGCTGTACACGTGAGTACAGGCGTTTCCGTCCCGCGGCCGAGGGCGCTCAATTTGATGCACACTGGTCCATAGTTATGAGTTGAAAAGACTTAAAAGTCAATCAAGTTTTCATACCATTGCTTTTTAAGGTAAAATCTAAATATTTTTTTCACTTTAAACTACTTTTAAACTCATATTAAACAATTCAAAAAATGTTTAGCTTTTCATTAGCCGATTTAATTGAGAAATTATTACATGTTTTTTGGTTGTGTTAGCACTTTACTCTGGGCCTGTGTGCAGCACAAACACCGTTCTGCTAGTCCCGCCCTGTGATTGGTCAAGGATAGGAAGGTTCTACAGAAGTTTCTAGCCGGCGATCAATGAGTTGAGGCTGGTGAAAGACGAAAAGCAAAGCCGTGTAGGTTGAGCCGCGCGGTGCTGCCGGCGAGAATTTATCTTGGGTGTTATGGCAGCGTCATCGATCCAGCCTGCCATCTCGTGCGCTTTCCGGCCATTGGCTCCTGTTATAGTTTATGTTTACCCCATTGAAATGAAAAGAAAGACATGAAGCCGGGGTGTGACTTTTTAAAATCCGTCGGGGGCAATAGCGCAGGCAGGGGAGGCACAGGGCCTGCGCCCACACTTAGGTTCCGGGAGGCCTCTCGGGTCCTTCGGAATCTTCCACTAAGGGGCCGATTTGAGGGCCCGAAGTACCTAAAAGGCGCGCCGCAGGTCGTGTTATATATATATATATATATATATATATATTATATATATATATATATATATATATATATATAATCTCTCTCTCTCTCTCTCTCTCTCTCTCTCTCTCTCTCTCTCTCTTCTCTCTCTCTCTCTCTCTCTCTCTCTCCTTCTACTCTCTCTCCATATCTCTCTCTCTCTCTCTCCTCTCTCTCTCTCTTCTCTCTCCTCTCTCTCTCTCTCTCTCTCTCTCTCTCTCCTCTCTCTCTCTCCTCTCTCTCTCTCTCTCTCTCTCTCTCTCTCTCTCTCTCTCTCTCTCTCTCTCTCTCTCCCTCACTTGCAAATTTCCTACCTCTTTGGCTGGAATATATTCCAGCTTTACTGCCGTAAGTTAACAGTAAATATGATGACAAACTCATGCATTAAATGACTGCATGGAAAATCGCCGGCTCTCGTCATTCGACAACAGTACGGTGGACTCTTTTAGACGGATAGAGCTCAGAAATTTTGTCAGAATTTTTATCTGGGCTGTACAGAGCTAGCAATGATTTTGTGACTGTAGGTCGAAGACCAAAATTAGGTCAACAATGTGCATTAGTATTGCCAAGTCATGTTTTTCTGAATATGTTCAACATTCAGTCTGAAATTATTTGTGGTAAAAGGTACGTAACATAGTTTTGAGCGAGCGCGCTCGCGTGTCTTGGTGAAAAAAAAACTTGACAGGTGTTGCAGTCTCAGTAGACCGCGCTTGGTCGGTCTTATGGTTAACGTTAAGCCGTGGTCAACAGGTACACGAAAATCGTGCCGCATCTGAAAAAAAAAATAATTTTGAACGCTAATGGACACCAAATCGTATATTTACAGATATTCGGGCTTATCTTTCCCAAGTTATCGCTGTCTTCGCTATCCGAGATTATGGGCGTCTCATTGGGACTTAATGACGCCCTCAGCTGCTGGGGTTATGTGGCGCCGCCAGCCTCCCACCCTGGCGGGAAGGGCGGGCACCATGAGGAATCAAACCACGTACCTGTGATTTCCCAGGCTTGCAGTGGTCAACGCAGGCACATTAACCACAAAACTTTTGATGATATTTGTTTCGCTTGTCGATTCAGCAAAATAATGAACGTTCTCAGGGAAACATGGGGTGGCCCTGTGTGCTCCGAACTCATTTCATCCCACTCAATTCAACACTAAAAAAGCTTACTTCTTTCGGGTAAAGGGACCCTCTGAAGTACAACATCATGGGGCACGTTGTCGTTCCCGGGTAAGGGTCGCAGGACCATTCCGTTTAACCGCAGCGTATTTTCTGGCCGTCATTCTGGCGACACAGGGCGGTATTCCCTGGTCGATCCGAAGGCCATTAGAGGGACACATCATATCTTGCTGGTCCGTTCCCTGACGCGGCAGGCCTTCGGACCAGCGCAGTTGACCCCGGATCGACGCATGAGCCGTCATTAACAACGCAACATCATCCCTGCTCGCCGCAGGTGTTCAAATATATAACACATAGACTTCAGTTGGGCCTAACTGGCCCATACTGAAATAGGGTTGGAGCGTCCACCGTTCGGTACGGGGGGCCCTGACTGGTAAAGGACTCTTCTGGTACCTCAGTGTGAGCACTCATTATAAGTTCTTACGTTTCCTTTGATTGTCAGAGGGGCCCCATCAACGCGAGGGACGCTCTGGCGCTCGGGCTCCCTTTCCCGTTCCTGTTGAGCAAATCTTCCCCTGAACAAATCAAGGCCTCTTGTTGACACAGAATGCTCTGTCAGGCACTGTAGGCCTCTGAACGATACAGGAGCGCAACCAAGGTAAATCGCGGGCCAGGCCTTGTCCCTGCTTGGGAAATGGGCCCCCAGGCCTCAGATACACACTGAAGCGACTGTTCGGTGTTCGTGATCTGTGGTCGAAATAGAGGAACGCTTTGTGTTAGGGGTCCCTTTCGGTGCAAGAGATCATCTTGCTGACCTTTGAGATTACGACTCTGTGGGTGAGGGTCCTTAATGTGGCCTACACCCACCACTTCGGACCCCTCAGCCATCCCATCGGGTCCTTGACTTTTAGTCCCGAGACCCTTCGGCCCCTGTTAGGGCCTCCTCAAACACCGCTCCGACCCATGGCCACTTGTCGCCCCGGAACCCCTGTTAGGCACTGTGGCACCTAACCAGCACAGGAGCCCCTCGTTGTGTCAGGGACCCCGAACATTTCAGATCGCCTACCCCAGCCTCGTTTCTGTTTGGGTAATGGGTCTCAGGGGCTCAGACGGACATGGAGCCGACTGTTCCGTGCTTGTGGTCTTTGACCGACTTATACACCCGCATTGTCTCAGGAGTTCCTAAAACGTTGCAAGAGGACCACGGACTGATATTTCAGGTCGCTGCCCTACGAGCCGCGATTCTTTATGCGACCTAAAGCCAGCCCCTGGGGTCGTTATGCCCTCCAACCGGGCCTTTGATTGCCGGTTCCGGTGGGCCGCCCGGGCCCCTCTCCGGGTCTCATCAAACGCTGCCCTTGGTCGGCGCGGGGCCCCTTGCGAGCACAGGACCCTCTGTCAGACACTCTGGACCCCAACAGATATGGGAACCCGACCAGTGTAAATTATTGGCTCCAGCTTTGTAGCTGATTGGTAAGTGGGCTCTCAGGCCCATACCGACACGGAATTGACCGTGTGGTGCTGGTAGTGCATGGCCAACATATAGGCCCATATCGACTCAGGAGTTCCCGATCGGCGCAAAGGGCACCATGACTGTTATTTGAGGGTCCGTCTTCGCAGGTCGGGGGCCCTGAATAAGACTCTGACCAGCCCTTTATGCCCTTAGATCCTCCAATCGGGCCCTTGATCGTTGGACCCGTGAGCCCCCCAGGCTCCTCTTCTTCCTCGAACACTGCCTCTGGGCGACTTGGGGTCCCTTGACAATACATGCCCCCTTTTGACGCTGTAGGATCCCAAGGAATGTAAATCGCTGGTTGCAGCTCGGCCCCTGCTTGGGAAATGGGCCATTCAAGGGCTCAGCCTTGCGGGCCGGGTCCCCTGAATGAGACCTCCGGCTGGCTTTTCAGGCCCTTCAGACCCTTGAATCTGGCTCTTAATCGCAGCCTACGGGCCTCTCGGAACCTAAGAGCACGTCCCCCCTGTGCCCCCCCCCCCCCTTCCTGCGCTACTGGACACCACCAATATGCACAGTCGGGTCCGTATCGTCATGAGCGTTAGGGTTCATTCCCCAAGCAGGAACAAAGCAGGAGTCAACTATTTACATTGGTCGGGGCCCCAGCGTCCTGTCAGGGGCCCTACAGCGCCTGAAGGGGGTCCGATTCAGCCAGAGGCAGTGTTTGAGGAGGCCTGAAGAGCTTGGAGGGCCACCGGGACCGATGATCAAGGGCCCGATTGGATGGTTTAAAGGCACGAAGGGTTGGTCGGGTCTTATTCAGGGCCTTCAGCCTGTGAAGAACGGGCCCTCAAATGATAGTCAAAGAGCCGTTTGCGCCGGTCAGGTGCCCCGGGCCGATATGGGTCCATATGTCGGCCAGACAACACTTCTTCTGCCCAGTCAGCTCCGTGTTGGTATGAGTCTGGGGGCTCACTTCCCCATCAGCTACGAAGTCGGGTGCTAACGATTTACACCGGTCGAAGCCTCTGTATCTGTTAGGGGTCCGCAGTGCAGAGCAGGAGGTCCTGTGTTCGCAAGCTCTCTGGCAGTCTGAACCCTAGGGGCCCATTTCCCAAACAGGAGCGAGGCCGGGAGTCACGACTTGCAATGGTCTAGGTCCCTAAAACAACGGCTGGGGCCTCTGTGTTGAGCAGGGGCCCACAGTGTTTACCAGGGGTTCATGTCTCGGCCAGTGGCCTCGAGTTGGTTATCGGCTTTGTATGAGGAGGTCCGAAGAGGGGCCGAAGGACCCCTCGGGACTAAAGATCAAGGGCCCAAATGAAAGGCTGAAGGCCCGGGCTGTAGGTCACATTAAGGACCCCGCCCGTAGGAACGTAATCTCAAATGTCAATTGGGGGGTCTCTCGTATCGATTGGAGACCCTTGAGACAGAACGTTCCTCTATTTCGGCCAGAGACGAGCAACACCGAACAGTCACCGCGTCGGTCTGAGCTCTTGGGGGCCCATTTCCCAAGCAGGGACAAGGCCGGGCCTGCGCTTTGCATTGGTTGGGGCCGCTGCACTAATGCGGGCTCCTGCATCGGCCAGGGGCCCAGTGCTGAACAGGGTGCTCTGTGTCAACAATGGGCGTTGAGTCGGCCAGGGGAACATTACTCAACAGGGGTGGGGACCGCACCCCGAATGACAGAGGACAAGTATTTCAAGACAAGTCAAGACAAGTCAAGACAAGTCAAGACGAGACAAGTCAAGACAA